TATCTATCTATCTATCTATCTATCTATCTATCTATCTATCTATCTATCTATCTTCTATCATTTGTTTATACTTTTCCCTTCTCTTTTTCCCACCACCTTCCTGGCTGCGATGGTGCTACACTGAAACTAAGCCAAAATAAATATTTTCTTCATTAACATGTTTTGCTCAAATATTTTGGGAGAACAACAAAATTCTTGCAAAATTTCCAAGGTCATACCATTAGCCAGTAAGTAAAGCAGGTACCTTCAGGGGCAGATCCCTGTGTTAATGGATCTTTAAAGTGTGCTTTCATTTGCTGTCAGCTAAAACTTTATGGTACAAGCTGTCCATGCCCGGAAGCATTCTTGTTTATCACTTTTATGTCATGATCTTAAATTGGGCATGCTCAGGAATGGATCAACCTGTACTCATAGGCTCTTTGAATAAAATCCCCATGTTCCCTGTGATTGAGAAAGTCATTGCTTAGGAAATGACTCACAAGCTGTCCTGGGCTACTTTAGGTAATGATTTTTTTCCAACTGTTTTATGACTTTAATGTGCTTATTTTGTCTTTGTATTCACCAAGATATGAGTGCATTTCATTTAGGTAAAATAACACTATGAGGATGTAGATGAAACATAGAGCTAATACTATCAGATATCAGTTTGGGGGCAGGGTATATACATTAGCTGGCAGAATCCTTGCCTGATATATAGGAATCCTTGGATTATCCCCAGTATATCTTAAAGTGATCATGTTAGCACAGATCTGTAATCCCAGTACTCAGGAGGTGAGAGACAGAGGATAAGAAATTCAAGATTATCCTTGGCTATGTCAGGAATTTTAAGGAAGCCTGGGATGCATGAAGCCTTATCAAAAAAAAAAAAAAAAAAAAAGGAGAGATAGTTTGTGTATACAGCTGAAGGCTTCTCCTACTGAATCAAAGTGCCTCTCTACAGGGGGAGAAATTATACCCTGAATCTAAACATTAGCTGCCTCAGTCTTCAACCCACCATAATTTTGCATGCATGTGCAGTGCCAGCTGCTATAAACAGTATGAAATTTATGAATGTTTGGAGATATCCCTCCTGTAACACTGTACCTTTTAAAAATTATTCAGATGCATTAGAACACACTTTACACGCTGCAAACAAAAGGCTAATTCCCACTAACAGCATGCAGGCAGATAATGACCATTTGAAAATATCCTATCTCTTTCTCCTTCTGGGATATTTCACTCAAGATGATCTTTTCTAGATCCCACCATTTGCCTGCAAATTTCATGATTTCCTCCTTTTTGATTGCTGAGTAGCATTCCATTGTGTAAAAATACCACAATTTCAGTACCCATTCCTCCGTTGATGGACATCTGGGTTGTTTCCAGGTTCTGGCTATTACAAACACAGTATATACTCACTTATATAGACCTATAAGATATAATAAACATAATGAAATCTATACACCTAAAAAAAGATAATCAAGAGATCGGACATGGGGTAAGATTATCAATCCTTGTTTTGAAAGACAGATGGGATACACATTGAACATTGACAGGAGTTTACTGAGCGCATTGGAAAGACTCTAACTAGCAGTGTTTACAAAGCAAAGACTCATGACCAAACCTCTGGCAGAGTACAGGGAATCATAAGAAAGAAGGGGAGTTAGACTGATAAGGAAAGGATAGGAGCTCCACAAGGACCAAAAATATCTGGGCACAGGGATGCAACCAAGGACCATGTATGAATGTAACCCAGAACCTCTGCTCAGATGTAGCGTGTGGTAGCTCAGTAACCAATTGGTTTCCCATAGTGAGGGGAACAAGGACTATTTCTAACAGGAACTCAATGGCTGGCTTTTTGGCCTCCCCACCCCCCAAGGGAGGAGCAGTCCTGTTAGGCCACAGAGGAGAGCTTTGCAGCCAGTCCTGAAGATACCTGATAAAACAGGATCAGATGAATGGGGAGGAGGTCCCCCCTATCAGTGGACTTGGCAAGGGGCATGGTGGAGATGAGGGAGGGAGGGAGGGACTGGGAGAGAATGAGGGATCGGGACATGGCTGGGATACAGAGTTAATAAAATGTAACTGATAAGAAAAAAATAAAATACAAAAAAAAAAAGAGAAACAAAAAACAAAAAACAAAAAAAAGAAAGAAAATATCCTATCTCATGTACTCAGAAGACATTCCAACTCACACCAAAACTTGGAGTCTCTTAACCCTTTGCTGTGCCCTGAAACCACAGCAGGAAGCACAGACCCACCAATAATGAGGTAAGCACAATTCTCTCCTCAGCGGGAGTGAGAGGTCTCTATCTTGTAATAACAGTTTGGGTGTTTTTATATAAAGTGTGGAGGCAGAAATTAGACTCCCTTCCCACATCTCAATGAAAATGCTTCCCACAGAGTGATGCAGTCAGCAACCCTAAGCAGAAGTCTGCTCACAGCAGGCTACAGGAAGTCACAGTAAGCTCCACTCTAGCTGCCTTCAGTGTATGAGAGGACAACACAGAAATGAGGCAGCCAACATCACTGGAGACTTCATCATTGTAAACTGGCTCTAGTGACATAGAGAAAATTAAAAAAAAAAAAAAGAACACTGACTCCTCATGCTTCTAAATGTGACACTTTGCTGCCTTATTATCAACAGTAAGTTCAAATGGACAACACATCATATTTACTCGCTCTATTGATATAGCTGTGTTAAACAGTTTCAGCACTAGCAATTTTCCATGCATACTGTCTACTTCTCTAATATAGTTTATTCAATTTGATACTTACAATAAGAAACACTTTTATTATGTTCATGATTTTATTGTTAAAAGGTATGAAAAAAATAATCTACAGAGATGTTAGGGAATTTGCCCAATGTCAGATGCAGGACTAGGATTTTAGCACACCCCCTCAGGGAGACTGGCTGCCCTACAGGAGAGCCTATCTTAGTTTCACCCTATGAATCCCTTGTTCAATTAAAAAATACCCAAGAAGTCTGGAGAGGCAGCATAGTCGCAAGGTCTATTGCAGCAATGTGGGGAGAATTCACGGTCAGGTAAGAAGAAAAGAGATGGTGTTCTGTGGCGTTCCCTATTTTCATTCAGCTTCGCTGTCTGGGGGGCATCATTCTTATCAAGCATCGCCCAGCCTCACTACAGTACCCCAAAGCACAAACAACACTTATTATTTGACATGAAGTCTTAGCATGCTAGAAGTACAACTGCAGACGAAGAACGTATTAAAAAATATTCAGTAATGCATTTAGAATAACCATTTGTTGTTGAATCCAAGCACTTAGGGAGGCAAAGGCAGGCAGATCTCTATGAGTTCAAAGCCAGCCTGGTTTACAAGGCAAGTCCAGGACAGCCAAGGCTACACAGAGAAACCTATCTCGAAAAAAATATAAATAAATGAATAAATAATAAATAAATAAATAGAAAGTTAGTCCAATAGGCTACTTCTCTGAAACACTGGAAGAATGTTAATTTTTAATGTTGCATTGTAAGATGAAAATTCTGATTTCTAAATGTCTAATAAGCTGATGGCATGTACTGAATGTTGAGAGGAGTACATTATTTATAATCTTCACATTAGGAGCATCTTTTTTCAGTTACTTTTGTTAATGACAATGTGTTATGCAAGAATGCATTCTTATCATGATACACTTTTCTTCTTAATTACCTAGGAAACTCCTGGAAGGGTAGATATCATTTCCTTTGTTGTCTTGGTGACTTGAGAATGGCCAGCAACTTGATGATCATGTAATCTCAACTAGTTTTTACGAAGTTCGCAGTTAACCATCAATTCATCATCTCATAAAATTCTTAGACATGACCTCTTCCTGCACACACACAATGAAGCTTATCCTGAACTACCGTACTCTGCAGTGAGGTATCTTGGCTTATCATCTGAAGAATTAATGAAGCACACTGGCTTAAACTGCTCATGTCTCTTGAGGAGTAGTTTATGGTTGCAATTAGGCAAAACTCTGGAGGCACAATATGCCCATTAGCCCTTCTCCTGAGACTCTTTGAGTGGATAGGTCTACAAGCAAGGAAAAGGAAACAGCAACAACCAAGACAATAAAATGGCACTTCCCTTTATGTCTACCCCTTTATTTCTATCACCAGCCATGTTTTCCAGGTTTAGATTTGTATCTGATATCCTCATTTCTTTTCAGTCTGATACTTGATTTACTTTATCTCTTCATCTTTTTTAAATTTTTATGTTAAATGACAGTCTTAAGTTGACCTACTAATGAATAAAAAGTCATGCCTGCATCTGTGCCCAGGACAAACAGGAACTGTGATTTGTTCTTGTAATGAATTATTCCATGTTTAACAAAAATGTTAAATTATATATTTTATCTTCCATGTGAATACTCACATTCAGCATATTTCTGAAGTTGGGAAAATTCTGAAGGGCTGAGATGGGCCCATTTCTCCTGGTTTGTCATGGTGTAGATGAGGAGTTCCTTACACACAGGATGAGGGATTCCTTATCCAGGTTGGGGGGGGGGGGTGAGAGCAGACGTTTATGCTTCAAAGATTTTACACGGTGTGTTTCATGATGGAATACTTCAGGCTTTTAGAATTTGCACTTTGTCGACATGAAACTGCTGTAGATGTTTGTAGTTTCAATAATTTGTTAGAACACTGTGAAAAGAAAAACAAAACATGAAGTTCAAAAGATTAGCAATATTGAACAAAGAAGAACAACAGTAAGGAGTAAACGATAAGGGTAAGATGGTAAGGATTATATGTCCTAAGCAATACATTATGGATTTATCTTATTTTGCATACTCTTCAGTCTTTAATTACCTCTTCATTCTTCAATGATGTTACATGTTCTTTTTCTAATAAATACCAAATCACATAAAAAAATGTAACCAAGGGTACAAAATGTGAAGAACATTTTGCTTAACTAAAAGTATGCTGACCAAAATAAATTTATTTGTGTTTAGTTTTTATAAAGTCCACATTCCAAGGATAGACTAGAACATCATTTTTATCATCTGGACTTGTCATTTTTTAAATATCTAAGCAGTACCAAAAAAAAAAAAAAAAAAAAACTCTACCTAGGCCTAACTCATTATAGAGATTGGAAAACAAGATACAATTCATTAATATATTGGATTTCTTTTTTTTAATTTTTTATTAATTACACTTTATTCATTTTGTATCCCCCCCATAAGCCCCTCCCTCCTCCCCTCCCGATCCCACCCCCCCTCCCCTTTCTGCATGCATGCCACTCCCTGAGTCCACTGATAGGGGAGGTTCTCCTCTTCTTTCTGATCTTAGTCTATCAGTTCTCATCAAAAGTGGCTGCATTGTCATCTTCTGTGGCCTGGTAAGGCTACTCCCCCGTCAGGGGGAGGTGATCAAAGAGCAGGCCAATCAGATTATGTCAGAGGCAGTTCCTCTTCCCATTATTATGTAACCCACTTGGACACTGAACTGCCATGGGCTACACCTGTGCAGGGGTTCCAGGTCATCTCCACGAATAGTCCTTGGTTGGAGTATGATTTTCTGGGAAGTTCCCTGTGTTCAAATTATCTTGTTCTGTTGCTCTCCTTGTGGAGTTCCCGTCCCCTCCAGCTCTTACTATTTCCCACTTCTTACATAAAATTCCATTCACTCTGCCCATCAGGCTCAGCATCTGCTTTGACAGTCTATACTGCAGAAGCTTTCAGAGGCCCTCTGTGGCAGGTTTCAAGGTTGTTTCCTGTTTTCTTCTGGCTTTCAGAGGCCCTCTGTAGCGGGTTCCGAGGTTGTTTCCTATTTTCGTTTTCTTCTGATGTCCATCCTCTTTGCCTTTCAGGATGGGGATTGAACATTTTAGTTAGGGTCCTCTCTTTTCCTTAGTTTGTTTAGATGTACAGATTTTAGTGGGTTTATTCTATATTATATGTTTATATGAGTGAGTATATACCATGCGTGTCTTTTTGCTTCTGGGACAACTCACTCAGGATGATCCTTTCCAGGTCCCACCATTTACCTGCAAATTTCATGATTTCCTTATTTAATATACTGGATTTCTAATGCTGTTTATGAATGGTACTCAGCACTAAAACATGTACCTATTATCTTGTAAGTTAATTTGGGGGTCCTGAGTAATTGTTACACAGCAAACTACTTTTTGTTTTATAACCTTAAAAAATTTCCATATATGTGCCAAACCAAAGTAATTCCAAATGCTTGAAAGACTGACTAGCTTAATGAGAGTACATGACTCTAGTGTGAATCACGTTTTAAAATGAATCTCCAACTTGTCACAGGCTTAGAGTCACTGGCAAATTTATAAAGACAAAAGTGAACTCCATCTGGTGTCAGTGTTTTATCAGAGACTGTAATCAATTGCTCAGTACTCAACCAGGCTGGCATTGGAAGCTTTATAGAAATCTAAGCTGGGTAAGAATTACTTTGTCTCTAAAATTTCACATTAGAAGATTTATGAAAATAGATACAATTAATTTAAACCACAATACCTATAGCATGACTGAAAGGAAAATAAACAAACATACACTGTTTTATTTTGGGCATCTTTTTAAAGGATGCTCATTAATTTTTCACAAGGGAAATAAATTTTTGCTATTTGATCAGGAAAACAGAATTATCCTGATGTATTAACAAATGGTTAAGCTATTTGAAATCAGTCAGGACATATGTAATGAATATATCTGGGTTTTCACCAGCTCCTTTCTGCTGATTTCATTCCTCACACTAATTTCACCCTGACTCTTTGCTGCTTTCCAGCCATGGCAGTTGTGTAAAATGATGCACTCTGTCCTCCCTGTCCAGAGGGAGACAAATGATTCAGTCACACTTGTATGTTGACATGCTTTACACTGGGCTCTTTCTAAGTAAGGGTGTTAAAGGCTGAATGCAGTGGTTGAAGGATAAGGTAAAAATGGTTATAACTAAATCATTACAGAAGTAGATGGGCACCAGTTCCTATCTGAACCTGACTCACCCGCTTTCTTGTTTCCACAAACTAGTTATGTTCCTTTATTAAAGAATTAAATGGAAAGACATAGCAAGACTAACATACATATGTACAATAAGTATACATTAATCTTATTTTTAAAATGACAGATAAAGCAGACTGATTGGGTTCTGGTCTCTATAACTTCCAAATCTCATGCAATGATGATAGCTCATCAACTTATTCAAAACATGTTTGTTGAATCCCTGAGTGGCACCCAACAGCATTGTAGTCAATGGAGACACAGCAAAGAGCCAAACCCAGAGAAGATGGAAATAATGCTGATGTTTAAAATACGTTAGCTGTCAAGGAGAGTGTATGACACACAGAGCATGCATTACAGCACACGCCTTCCCAGGTCAGCTCTGGGAGACATGCACCGACAGTGCCATTGACCTTTCATCAAGTGATGAAACATGGGTGACTGGTCCCTTGATGCATAACAGTCTCTGCCCCCAGTCTCTAATCCACTCCGTCTTTATCCTCCCTAACATTCTTGCCAGCAGAAATTTAGTGAATGTGTATGTATTGACATGACTATGTTACCTAGCTCCTGGAGTGAAGAATTCTCTAATCAAGTGTAGGAGATATAGATGGAGGCATGTAAGGATGCTCTGTTAGAACAAAAACAGCTCAGCGTCCTATTGAGTCTTTCTGTTTCTTCCTACCTGTTGACATGTTGGATGTATGTTGAAGAGTTTCTTGTACTATGGAGGTAAATGTTAGAGTGTAAGCTGTGAGCTTGGTAAAGCTCAGTGCATTAGTCTCAGATAGGAAAATAACTAATAGCAGAACAAACTCAAGTAATTTTCTGTTTTATGATTAAAGTTTTATTAGAGCAGAGACTTGTTCAATAGAAAACTATCAAGAGGCCTTTGTCTGTATTTAAGAACTGTAGTGTTTATTATACAAAACACTTCAACAAACACTGTAGTGCTAACCCCAAATCACTGAAAACCTTGTTGATCTCACACTTGAGGAAAAAAAGAACAAAAGCCAATTGTTTTCATATTTTCATATTATTTCATTAAAATTGCATCTAACTGGGCCTTTAGGCTTTTTTTTTTCAACCATGTGCAATTTCCAGATCCTCCTGTTTTCCTTAGATGGTCAGGAACTGAAATGATTTCAGAAGCCAGTTATACAAATTGCCAACATGACAGCTAATCAATTATAAAGCCTCAATACAATGTTGCCCTTAATTCTATTGTGATGAGACAAATAATAACTAATGAAAATTAAATATTTGGTGGTAAACCATTTTATTCAAACAAATAGAAGAGTGAATCTGTGTGTGAATGTGAAAGTTGAGATCGACTGACCATGCTGAGCAGACGGTACAAGCATCTCAGGTCACTACTGATCGTTAAACTTCAGTTTCTTAGTTCTAACTAGTGAAGTACAGGCATAAAAAAATAATAATGTTTTCTTAAAACCTTTCACAAGGTGAGCCAGTACACTGGGTCTGTGAAAAGATAAATGTAGCTTGTGTAATATCAGATCCAGAAACACAGCTATGTTTAAAGCCACAAAGGTGCTGAAAACAACAGCAGCACTTTCTCACAGCTCTGTGTCTTCTTCACAAGCAGTTAGAAAAAAGGTGACAGTACTCAACTGGGAATCCCCCTAGTGTCTTCACAGATCTCCTGCTCCCTGAAGAAGGTTTTCTTTAGGCACATGAGAGCCAGAAGGGAATCACTGTGCTGACTTTCAAAAAGCAGGCTAATTCTGGCTTTCTCATCTAGTCAACAGATGTGCCACTTTGCTTAGTTAGTAGCAAGAAATAATTACTTTGGAGGAACTGAAGAAAGCTATTCAGCCCATTGTACCTAGGCTGCAAAACATTCTCCATATTAAAGGAAAGCCTCAATATCCTTACGAGAAAAAAAATCAGGTACTATCCAGATTTTTAAAAAAAAAATCTAGAGATTGTCAGCCACAGAAAAGGTAAATTTTTAACAGTTATATGAAGTCAGCATGACATAACTCCAGTCACTGAATAAGATCTAGTGAATGTTAAAGCATGCTAAAGAATTTAAGAAGAACATATGCATATAAATGCAAGGTGCTACAATGTTAGAAAATATTGCCAGCATCTCAAGAAGCATAAACTTTTTGTTTGAAGGGAAATGAAAGAAAAGGAAAATAATAGGGATGAGTAAAGACATAAGAGTACCTAATTCCAATTGGTTTTGCAATGAAAGTAGAATCAAGTCAAACAGAGGGACTAATTCTATATTGTAAGTCTTTACTCATTTAACTTTAAGAAGTCTAAATTTGAGCAGGCAGGCACTGTACTAAACAGTGAAAATGCAGTAATATAATAATTAAATATGACATTTGAACTACCAGATTTCTTTAAGTGAAGGATCTAAATTAAGTAAAACAACTACTTCAATAAACGATTAAAGACTATAAGTCATATTTAAAAAAACAACAGGCATTGATAGTCTATATGAAGTAAAAAATATGGCTTGATTTAGTTTGAAATATT